GAATAAGCTGGGAGCATCTTCACAAATAAAAGAGAATGCTGGCCAGAATGGATTCATTTGGTAACACTCTTTGTACTTCATGTGAATGCTCCAATGAAATCCTCCCAGACACCTGATTATTTTAATAGATGGAACCTAGCAGACTTAACTCCCATTGAAAGCCCAAGAATTTCCCTGAAATCGAAATAAATATTTGCACAGCTGTTAATCAATAGTTTCACTCTTCTCTCTACTTCAGATGGGGATTTGTGTAGTGACATTGTACTGTACAATCAACTCAATGTAAATGCTCTACTTCAAGCTTCTTAAAGAGCCCTTTCATGGGTCCCTATGGGTCCTCAGGTCATCTGTATAATTCAGGACACAGAATTTCTCTCTGTCTTCTCTGCAGAGATTAATATTGACACAAAGCCTTATTGGTAGATTGCTCTTTCTCCTTTATGTACAAGATACATTCCATATAGGTAACTAAGCAGGAAACATTTTGGTCTTAAAAAACTCCTAAAGAGGTGTACCTATAGCTGGATTTCACAGAAAAACCATCTGGTTTTGCCTGAAAATACTGTTCCAGGTTATTTTTTTACATTTGCCAGGTATCTGTATATGCAGATACCAGGATATGCAAAGATCCCCATGTTATCCACTGCTTGCACAAATTGCTAGTGTTTAGCATGTGTGCAGCAAGCACAGCAGGAACAGAAAGTGTACCACCTATGGGACCAAGACCAATGGCACAATACAGAAGTCAATATTTTCTAAAAGCATATGGGGATAGGTACAGACATGTTACTTCATACATTTGTAACAATACACCAGGATTAAGAAATATAAAAATAAAACTGACCTGTTATCCTTAGTGACAGGAATGTTGGCACCATTTTCTTTAAGTTCAGCAACATCCGTGGAATCTCCCCCTTCCATTATCTATGCAAATAAATTCAAACATTGGCTGCTATATCTATATGTGACAGATATATATGTGCTACATCTCTCATTCCTCCTGAAGGGCCTGACAGGGCACTCTCACTAGTTGGAGTTTACAGACAAGTTGTGTCACTTGCACTGGGACAGTGTCTTGCCCAAGTACCTGTTCCAGATTGCAAGGCAAGATGTGTTCTATTACCATCTGTATGGCAGTTGTCTTTTGTCAAATGGGCAGTTTTCTTTATCTCTTCCACAATCACTCCTCCCTTGGGAGGGGACATCTGCTGATAACAGGCTATTGAATGTCACTGTATGACTGATAAGAACTGTAGCATCCCATTGTGAGATGCTCTGCCCAAAGGGAGGAGCCAAGTATTTTACCCAGATATAATCTGGAGATTCTGGAATACCAACACAGCTTCTCCACTGGATTTCCCAAAGGAACAGCAGCTGCATCTTCTTCCACTGGATCTTCAGAGGAAGACCACATCCTTTTCCTACAAGATCCCTGCTCCAGCAGAACCACACCTGACACTCCAGGAGGACTGCAGCCACAATTCCAATTGGACTGCTACCAACACCCTGACCAACAGGGTGTCGGGTTGTGTTCTGACTATGTCAGTGTTGTTTTAGTGTACTGCATTGTTTATTTTATCCTTTTATTTTCTTCCCTATTAAAGAACTGTTATTTCCTGCTCCAATATTTTTTGCCTGAGAGCCCTTTAATTTAAAATTTATAGTAATTTGAAAGGGCAGGGAGGGCTGACATTCTCCATTTCAGGGGAAGCTCCTGCCTTCCTTAGCAGGCACCTGTCTTTCCAAACCAAGACAGTACCTTAGTGGGATGTCTTACCGTGAAGTTCAAGTCCAAGTCATCACTTTCTCCATTCAAAATTCTCCGAAGACTCCTGTCCAAACACAAAAGGGATTAAAGAGTGAAGAAATGTGACCTTTCAGTGTACTTGCAAATTCTGCTAGAAAACATCCTTTGACAAGCAGTATTTAAATGCATACATGTACATAACACCTACACTCACACAGAAACATGATATATGGCACTGAAATTTCATCATGCTGCTGACATAAGCTGAGCACAAATGCCTCCAGTAAAAAAAGCTTCCAGGCAAGTCCATTCCCATGCCCTGTATGGACAACTTTAAACCAAGTTCAGTGACAACTGGGTTTGAGACCACAGTCTTGCTTCCTCTCTAGACATTATCTAGTGAGGAATTAAGTGTGGAACAGAGGGATGATCTGGGAGAATTGTTTTGGGGTGCAGCACCTTTCCAAGTATTGCTGGCACGCTTGTGTTCCACTGAGGAACCTCAGTGAATTTAGCACCTCAGGAATTTAGCACCTCAACACAGTCACTGGGATGGGATTCTCATCTTCTTGGTTGTTTATATCACTTGCCTGGAAGACTGGGCTTCAGGGGCCTAGAAGCATTATGCTGGTGGCAGCAGCACCTCTCCCTTTCATGTCTGCCTGATATCTCCTCTCCCAGTGCATGGAAATTCTGCACAAGGGTTCTCAGAATTGGCTGCATTTTGTAATACTGTACTTGTGCAAGGCAATATTGTGGAAATTGATAATTAATAAATCAGGGAAAAAAACTCCAACATTAATAATTGAGTCATTAGTTTTTTCAAGTCCAAACTACAGCCCAAAGTGTTTTGAACACTTATATATTCACAGTGTGGACTTAAACTTTGGTGGAGCAGAGATCTGACACCTTCTAAGTCATGAGGCTTGGCATTTTGTTTTGGCAATGCCAGCCTCCGAGAGCAACATCCATGCCCTGGACAAGGACCTCTTAGAAATCTGTGACTTCTAGCAGCTTCACAAAGGCAAATGTAGATGCCATGGGTACCCCAAATTGAGTCTCTGGGATCTCCCAGTGCATGATCAAGGCAAGGGACCCAGCCAAAGCTTGGCCATGCCTGGCACATACCGGCCCACGGTTGGCAGCAGTTCCTCAAGGTCCTCCAGAGTGGGGGCCAGGTCCAGTAGCTTTTTGTAGAGAGCCCTGGGGAAGGGCAAGGGCACCGTGTGCTGGTTAAACAGGGCCATTCCACACAGTGTCCCAATCAAGAGGAAGATGTCCTCATCCTCACAGCTCGGGGCCTGGTTAGGAACAAGCACACCTGGTTAGGAACGAGCCATGACTGCCTTTTCCCATGGCTGGGGCCCCCACCCATCCCCGCAGGGCTGCCTTGCCTGTCTGGGGAACCACACGAGGCCGGAGGTGAAGTGGCAGAAGGTGATGGTGCTGGGCTGGCAGAGGGTCCTGGCTGCAACACTGAAGAGCTCCTGGGACACTGCACCTTGGTCCATCCCTGCCTCACCCACAAAGGACACCTGCAAGGGCAGAGACAGCCATAAATAGAGACACTCACATTGCTCACAAAATCAGATTCCTTACCTGGTGTGCAACAAGCCAATAATTACACACCCGAGAGAGACACTGATTTTTTATCTCATGGTTGTGCCAACCTGGGTACTCAGTGGTAGTCCACAAATCAAGCAACCCCCACCAGACTTTTTGAGCCATTATTTGTAGACAGAAATTCGGAGTTTGTAACTGTCCAAGTCTGTTATGCTTGGTTAGTAATTTCCAAACAAGTTACATAACCCCAGGTGACTTCCACACACCCTCAGGGGAAGGGTCTTCACCTGGGCAGGGGTCTCTTTGCCCTGTGGGTGTGATTTTGACTATTACAATGAACACAGTTCAGCTACAGGCTACATGGACCTTGAGTGTGAAAAATGCATGTGTTTTATTATTGGCTTTTCGCAAATATTAAAATGAATATGTGTTGTGTTAAAAAGTAATGCTCTATTAATTCTCTTAAGTACAGTGTTAAATATAGTTTTAGGTTACAAAAAATGTCAAAATAGAAACCATGCTATGTAGGATACTTTTTTTTAAGAAAGGACTTGCAGCGAAATAGCAGTCACAGGATACCTAAATCTTTCAGAGAAAAAGAATTTATTGCCTTCTTATCAGAAGAAACGAACTTCTTCCCGTTTCGAAGGCACTGTTAGGATTAAGAGGAAGAAGTTGACGATGACCAGACAGAATCCTGTGTTTGAATGGGATTTATACATCATGGATGAGATGTATGAATATGCAATAGGCTATTGCTTTTAAGGGTTAATCCTTTGTTAACGTGTGTCCTTTTTCGGGCTCGTGCTGCCCAGAAAAAGGTACCCGGACGTCCGTAACTCTTTGTCTCTATTGTCTCATATTGTCCTAATTCAATTTGTCCAAATTATTATTACTCTAACTGTATTACTATTGTTATAATCATTTTATCACTATTATACTTCTAAAATTTTCAAAACAAGTGATCGGCGTTTTTCACACTGAGTATTTTACCAAGTTAGCAATGTATGTACAGACATACATCAACATCTTGATTTACTGCATCCTTAAGGCTTTTCATTCCCGGATGTCCTTGGCTAGGGAATGCTGCCTGCTGCCTGTTCCACTGACTAGTTCTCCTTTCTTCCTGATTAAGCTTGAAAGTGTATAAAGATCTTACACCGCAAACCATCCTGACTTAACCTGGATCTATTCTACGTTCCGAAACACGCCGGGAGCCCGGCTGAGGGGGGCGGGCGGCGGGGCGGTGCCGCTCGGGGCGGGCCGTGGCGGCGGAAGCGGCGGCCATGCTGCGCGGCCCGGCCCTGCTGCTGGCTCTGCGGCTGCGAGGGGCGGCCCCGGCCGGCCCCGGGCACCGCCGGCACTGCCACCGGCAGCAGGAGCAGCAACGAAGCTCGGGCTCCGGCCCAGACTCGGGCTCCGGCTCAGCGCGGCCGCAGCCCCTGGAGCCATCATTGCTGCGCTTCCTGGTGTGCCCGCTCTCCAAGCGGCCGCTGAGGTGAGCATGGGCCGGGGGAGCTGCGCCCGAGCCCGGGGCAAAGCCAGGTTAGTCCCTGCTCCTCACGTTTTCACTTGGGTGTTTCTCCCCCCTTCCCGACTTGGCTGAGCAGGTACGAAGAATCTACGAACGAGCTCATTAACGAGGAGCTGGGCATCGCGTACCCCATCATCGACGGCATCCCGAACATGGTTCCGGAGGCTGCCAGGAGGACGCACACCAAGGCGCCGGCCGAGGGCTCGGAGCAGCCGTGAGGAGCCGCCGGGCCCGGCCGTACCGGGGCCTGATGGCCGGGGCTGGGCTGCTGCCCTCGCTGCCCACGCTGACTGTGCTCGTTCCCCTGCTGTCCCTGGCAGGCCTGTTCTACTCGGCCAGCGTGGACGAAAACTTCCCCCAGGGCTGCACCAGCACAGCCAGCCTGTGTTTCTACAGCCTCCTCCTTCCCGTGACAGTACCGGTTTATGTGTTCTTTCACCTGTGGACCTGGATGGGGATTAAGCTTTTTAGGCACAACTAGTGCGGTGCCTTTGCTAACCCCTGGGCTTCTCTAAATCAACGTAATTTTGTTTAATCTTATCGAGTATTGCAGTTCATTTGAGAGAGTTTCCTTCTGGCACTAGTGACTGGCATCATTTTCCTGGTAGTATCTGGAAGTGTATGAAGCAGCAGCCCATTGTTAACTACTGTTAATGCAGATAAAGAGTAGGAGTAAAAAGAAGCACTAATTCCCTCTGTTTTATCCTTTCAAGAGTGCTGTGCATTTGTAGTGGCACTAATTAGAACCTTAGTTTTCATGAGGAAGTACCCTGACTGAATAAATTAAAATTAAAACATGCAGTGATACGAATCTCTCTTTGAGAGCTTTGGGGGTTTTTATCCAGATGTGTGTACTGAAATATGTTTGTCTCACTGTCAGAAGAGCAAAAATTAAAATAAATCGGGCTGGTGTTTATTAACAAAACTTGAGATGAGTCAAATGAAGACATTTCTTTCTTGGATGATACCCATGTCTGTATGTGCAGTACCTGCAGATATTTTCTTTCTTGGGCCACCATGAGAATGCCACATACCAAGTTCTTAATATTGTCTCAAAAACTTTCTAGCAGGACACAGCTATGAAGGGGGCAGGTCAATGCTACAGTAAAGGTTTCTTTTTAATGTTTTGCATTTGGGTGGTTTGTATTCGCAACACAAAACACATTCATGTCCTTTACCTGCTGAAAAATGCAGAAATGAACCACCAAGTTGTAAATGCTGCACCAGGCTGTAAGTGCTGTGGGATACTAACAGTGCAGTTGTATTTTTCAGGCTGCTGCTGGGTAAATAATATTGTGATGCACAGTGTGAAAGGCAGTGCTCACGAGGTGTGCCCAAAGGCTGACTTGAGCTAAGGGCAGCTGTTTGTCAGAGCTTGTACAATAGGTGGAGACTTGAAGTCTAGAGGACAGTTCAGAGCACACCCTGCCTGCCTCTGTAGATAAATGTACCTCTCTCAGCTGGTGTAGTGAGGAACCAGGAAGGAAAGGTAGCTCTGGGAGCCATTGTGCATTTCTCCTAAGTAAATGGGAAAGAAAAGCTTTGACAGCTCTGGCTGACAAGAGAGCTCACTTGGAAAGCACCAGGGCACCAAGGTCCGTGGTTCCTGTGGCACAGGCGTGGTGCCAGTCTGTGTTAGTGGCAGGCGGGGCACGGGGTGCCTGAGCTGAGCTCTGCTCTGGGCAGTGTCCTGTCCCAGTCAGGTGTCCCTGTCCCAGCCAATGGCTTCTGCAGGGCAGGGCCAGCACCGCCATTCCTGCGGGAAACGCAGCTGCCACAACCTTCGGGTCTGTGTGGGAGCCACACGCTAAAGGCACATGGAGACAGCAGCACTGTAATCATGCCCATCTCTCTGGCCAGCACTATCCTTCCTTTCCCTTCAGACAGCCTCTCCAGGAGAGAAATGCAATCGTGTGGCTGTGTTGCTTGCTGACCCCTCAGGCTGGTTCCCCAGACCCTGGGGTTTTAATGTACTAGGAGAAAGTCTCAGAAGTCAGTCCAGCAGCAGCAGTACTGGACTTTGACAACTGGGCAATTCTATTCCATTACCCCAATGCAACCTCACAGTAAATAGCACTGCCACATGCATTTAACTTATGCCAACAAAGCTGCCTGGAATAAGGATGTAAAATACTGCCTCCAGATTTAGTCTACACCATCCATGGAACATGTTTTATAATAATTTGAGGAGCAGTTCTTTGGCTCTATGCTCAGAAGATACTGAAACTCTTGTACCAATATACAGTAACACTGAAAATCAAGGAACACTGCAGCAAGATACTTAGAGCTAACAAGTAATACAATTTAGTATCTTACCTTTAACATCTTCCTGAAATCTTGGTTTGAGGCAGCCTTTAAATTTTCCCATATGTCTTGGAGAAGGCATTCTCTTCTGACGCAGAAATTCCATGGCTCAGGGATCCCTATAAAGGGTATCTGGATAAGGGGCATCCAAGGATTGAAGTAATAGTCTGTTAGCAGTGTGTTTATCTCTTCTGATACGTAACAAAATTGGTTGCACTTACAATAAAGAATCCGGCCAGAGCCCTGCATTCTGCAATATGAAGGCATATCTTGTTTTCCCTGTCAAAGATGCATGGGTAGTTGGTCAGCATCTGTGGGACAATCTGAAAGGACAAGGAAGAAAGGAAAAGACATGCTGATTTTCCCTTGTGAAACCAGAGTCCAGGGACATGTCTGCAGGCTGAACTGCCAGTCTATACCCTGGCAAACTTCTGCACCTCTGAAATGAGCCCTTGTGTGCATGAGCACTGCACTAACAGAGGTTCACATCCTAGAAACAGCTCCTACACACTGCTGTGAGTGAGAAGCAGAGAGAGGTATCTAACCTCTCTGTGCAGACAGACACTTGTCTATAGTAGTGCCTCAAGAATAAAACAGAGAGAGTGATTTTAACAGCATCTTCCATAATTCAGCTAAACCAAAATGCCCTGGATACTCAGGCTATGGTATATTGTTTGTAAAAACTGCTGAGTTTATTATATGTAATACCAAAAATAGATACTGGTCTAAAGATAATCTAATTTAAAGTGTTACACTACACCTCCAGTATAATAAGGCACCAACTTCAGGTAACGTCCTAATTGGCATTTGATTCTATGCTCAAACCTCCTCCTCCACTCTGGTTAATTGGTACAAAATTGGTACATTAGCAAACACAAGCTTATGCAGGAATTAGGCAGTTGCCCTACAAATTCCAGCCAAGTTGCATGAAAGCTTACTTGTTTTTTGCCAGAGGAAACCCCTACTATGCACATTTCCATTTCATACTGCTTCCTCTGACACTGACTGCATTTGATAGCTAATTTTCACTCTGTGTCAAGAAATGCCACAGATTATTTTTTATTATCATGGCTTCATTTTAAGGTGTCAGTACATTGAAATGCTCAATAAGATTTCTAAATAAAAGTTTAAAGATACCTCAAAATATTTATCTTAATTAAACATAATAAAATCCAGAGTAACACAAAGTATAGCAACCATCCCTCATGCTTCTATTTCACAGTCATTACTTGTTCAAAGCAAACAAAGCTGCTTAAGATGCTGGAGGGCAGCTCCAACTCTCAGAACCAGGGATCATCTCAGGAAAAGCTCCATTATAGTTGCTGGAATACTGAGATGGTAAAGGGCTTGCATAATTTAGAGCTTTGGAGGACTAGGGAAAATAAAATGCCTTTGAGATGTGCTGGGTTAGTCTCTAGAGTTGACTTCCATATATATATATATATATATGTTTTGCACTGCTGGTAAGATTTATACTTACTATTATATTGAAGAATGAACATATGCCGATAATCTCTTTCACTTCATGTACTTGGAAGATGCTTTCGTGTACTCCAAAACCAGTTCTGGAGTTCACCTGCATTGAAACACACAATCTATCAGCAGCAGAACTAGTGAGCTGTGTCTGTCTGGCAGGACAAGACTGACAGGGCTTTCTTCAGAAAGGGTTCTGAGACCCTGCACAGAAGTTACAGGATAAAAGTGCTCAAGCAGCACAGTGCTCCACAGTAAGAAGTCTTAGAAAGCTGTGTATAAACTAGGAGGAAAGCAACTTTCATCTACTATTAAGATCCCTTAGCAGGACTCCATCAGAAAAAGTGTATTTCCCTTGGAGTGTCTTTCATATTTCTGCAGTTCCCTACTCATGTTCCTGCTTGTTGCCAGGAAAAGATGCTTGCAGGGGAACAGTGAACATTTAAAGCTCCAAATCATGTAATCACTTACAGAGGAGTGGACCTGCCACATTTTTTAGTTTATTTATCTGCATAAATACAAACTTGAGAGTCTAAACTTTGAGGCCCAATTCTGCATTCTCAGCCAAAAGGATATTCAAGTCTGAAAAAAATTTAACAAATCTCTCTTAACTTTCATAAACTTTGAACATCTCCACAGGAATGTGGAGAGAAAGTATGTTTCCAGAAGAACACAGTTATTGCTTCCTTTGTTTCCCTTGTTCATGTACAGCTAAAGGTGTTCTAATGCTGTTGTCCCAGAGAATTTGTCAGCTTAACAGGCTCTTAAAGCATCACATAAAGCATCACAGAGCATTTCTGTGGCAGCTGCAATGTGCCAAGCAGATAGGTTGTCTTTAAAATGCTCTGAGTAGTTATTGGGATGAGGGATCTCACCAGCAGAAAGGGGAATAGGCGTGTTACATTAAGGACACCATTTCCATAACTGTGTAGGCATCAATGGATGCACTCCTGACACCACTGAGAGCATTTTTCCCCTGCCAGGGCTATAACATGCTTTAGCTCTTCATTTCTACAGAGGGTCAGTTTGGCACAGCTCCAGCAGGACTTCTTCAGAACTGTGCTGGTGTAGAGCCAAAGAGATTCCTGAAGCAGTGTCAAACGCACAGAATTCAACAAGTGAGAAGTACTAAAATACTCTAGGCTACATTGAGACACCCCGTGTAATTGGGATCCAAGCACCTTCTCACCTGGTAAAGCATCTGCAGTATTTGCAGAGGCCCAGTTTCAACTGGGTCCAGGTTGTGGAGGCGGCTTGGCCCCGTGGCCTTGAACTCCTGGACAAATGAGAACAGAATTTCCTGGGAAGCCCTCTGATACAGAATGACCAGCTCCTTGAAAAAGGATGTTTCTAGATTTGACCATAGGCATTCTGTAAAGAAAACAGCTAGTGAGGTCACAGGCAACATACAGATCACTGCAATTCGTGGATGAAGCTGCTTTTTCTCTTTTTATCAAATGAATTGAATAAAAAAAGGTTTAAGCTTGCACTACAAAAACTATTAAACCTCAGACAGAATTTTTAAAATTCTTGTGCCTTGCTGGATAGTTCCCATGTTTCTATGTCTATCAAAAGCAATTATTTCAAGCTCTGGAACACATTACATCAGTGATAATAACACTTGTTCTGCAGCAGAAAATGACCAACAATTTAAATCATTCAGTTCTACCATTACAAAACCCTACCAAGAGTTTGCAGGTCCTCTGGTTGGAGCTTCATTATGGTTTCAGCCAGAACAATCAGAGAAAGGACAGAGCCTTCATCCTTCCCCCTCAGAAGGAAAGGCAAGATCAAGTATACTCTGAAATTTTCTGGTGAGATGGGAGATGAAGACAATGATTCCAGTAAGTTCCTAATCTCCATTTGCACCTTCAGAGGGAGAAAAAAAATTAAAAAGAGACAAGGGTTAAAATGCAATTGTGTTTTGCTAAAGTAATTAGGTTGGCATGAAATTCTTAAGTTTCATGCACAAATCCAAAGCTCCTCAGTATCTGTGTAGTGAGCATCCTTATATCAAATCCTTACCTCCTGGTA